ATGTTTCTTTTCATGTATATATCCCTTTACATATTGTTGCACACTATCTCTATATCTGAGTGTTGTGAGATTCCAGGGGTTCAGGCACTTACCCAGGGTTTGTGTGTCTTTATGATATATGGTTTTATATACAACCCGCATCTAGATGGAGGGATTGCAGAACATTCACATCCTGTGAGCGTCTGGCTTCCCCCTTAAGGATAGCATTGGATTTAAAGGACAGCAACAAGCCATCTTCTGTGTCTCTTAGTTCTAACCCATTATCCTCAGCTCGTATGGAGTTCTGCCTCTCTTTCTCCTTCTTGCTGCTAATTGACTCCAAGGACCTCCCCCCAGCCTACATCATTCAAAGCTGAAACCATAAACCTAGCCCAGGCATAGGCAAACTCGGCCCTCCAGATGTTTTGAGACTACAAGTCCCATCATCCCTGTCCACTGGTCCTGTTAGCTAGGGATGATGGGAGTTGTAGTCCCAAAACATCTAGAAGGCCGAGTTTGCCTATGTCTGACCTAGCCTTATCTGCCCATTAGCACCCAGCAAAGAAGTCTTGCCCTCTGATGCTTTCCTTGATAGTCCATGACTTGCCTTTGTCCCCGGCTAATAGCCTATCCAGCTAGCTCTGTGAGTTGGCTTGGCTCATTAGCATATCTAAATTTGGCAATGTTTAATCAACACTTGATTAATTCTAACTTTTACTAAATCCAGGAATTATGGGGAGAATCTGGCCCTCAGGAATTTACGGGAATCTGGCCTCCCACAAGCCCATAACAATATATAAAGCAAAGTTCTCTCTCCTGGCTGCTTTTCCCCTTCAGGGTTCCAAAATTGTCTCTTGGCATTTGTTAAACGTAAAGCAAGCCTTCTTGATCAGGCCAATGGCCTATCCAGTCCAGCATCCTGTTCCCACAGTTACCGACCAGATGCCTGTGGGAAGCCGGCAAGCTGGACATGAGTGCACACTGCCCACCTGCAGATCCCAGCATATGCCACTGACAGTGGAGGTAGAACATAGCCGTTATACACATATTTGTGTAGGAGATGCTTGGAAATGGAGTGGAAAAGGTGGGAGACAAACCAGCTGGTAGAAGATTGCCGTAGATAGAACACCACTGCAAATATCAGCAAGAACAAAAAGTGCATGCCTGGCTCCAAACTCAGCCCAGTTAGCATCACCAGCAAAGAACTTGTTCTCAAAGGCACTGTTCTCCAATGGCAGTTGTAACACTGTGCCGTCAGGGCCTATCTCGAATCTTGGCGGAAATGCATCCTCTTATACTTCTTGCACTAGTATCAGTTACAGTACGTGCAGCATACTCATCACTTTGGCATCATTTTCATTTATTTTCTAGTAAAATATATCCAAAAAAGAAAAATACAACAGTATCTACGAAATCACACAGAAGCAATCCTCTTTACATCACTTGATTTATACTACTTTTTGACTTAATTAGAACCTCAATTCCAGCTGGGGGACCATACATTTTTATCTGGCTTAATTATTTTCCAGCCTACAGCAATAAGGAAGATAACTGGTTTTAACTCTTCCAATCTACGTTTGGTTAATTTTATTCTTCTTGTTACTCCAATAAACATGTCATTGCCACATGGACCAATATACACGTTAAAGCCATATTACTGAAACTATTAGTTTATTAAGTTTGTAACAGCTTGGGACCAGTTTGCTTGAAGGATTGCCTTGCCTCATACGTACCTCCTCAATCACAACAATCTGCAAAATTTTCGCGTTTGCAAGTGCCACGTAATGTTCATTTCTCATTTACAAGAAACTAGTTTTTTAGTGTGGCAGCAACCATGCTCTGAACTCCTGGATATATTACACCAGACAGGCACCCTCACTGTACTGTTTTAGATGCCCACTAAAAACTTACTTCATTTCGACAAGCCTACCCAGACAAGCAATGTGGTTTGGTGGGATTCAACTAAAGAGCTCTTTCAGCAGAAGCCTTGCACAAAGACTTCCCACTTGCACAGTGGGGGTTTCTCTCCTCTCCTCCCCCGTGCACTCCTAAAATTGGCTCAGGTGGGGGTGGGTGGGTCAGGAGAACCCCCAGAACAGCACAAGAAGGGAAGAGGGAGGAATTGTTCCATCTGCCAAGTTGAAATGTTTGCGCAGACAAAAGCATTGAAAGAGGGGAACAGTGAAATCCACCCACTGGTTTCTAATTTTATCTGTATATTTAAGTAAGTATTTTACATTTATTTACACTATGTTATGTAAAACACACACACACACACACACACATTTGAGGCAGCATGCTTTTGAGTACCAGTTTGCAGGGAACCAGAATTGGGAAAAGCGTTGTTGCTCTCATATTCCACTTGTGGGCTCAGAGGCATTCGGCTGGCCGTTGTGGGAAACACATCCCTAGACTAGATAGGCCTTTGGCATGATCCAGAAATGCTTTTTATTATGTTCTTTTGATGATGGTGTTGTTGTTGTTGTTGTTATATATGTTAAGTATAATTATTTAATTGGCACAGAAATGGAAAATGCCTAAATGTGTATTGCTAACTCTGGGGAAATCCCCCTGCAATATTCTAAGCAATGCTGAGCTTTAGCTGAGTTGATAATTAGCTATTGTTGTCTTCTGCTAGATAATGTGAGTGTTTAACCTCTGATCAGATGATTAAGGTACTGAATTGCAAATCACATCTTGAAAGGGAGTTGCTTTTAGTCTTTGTTCCCAGGCTCTGTGAAAGTAAAAAAGGTAAAGGACCCCTGACAGTTAACTCTGGGGCTGCGGCGCTCATCTCGCTTTACTGGCCGAGGGAGCCGACGTTTGTCCGCAGACAGTTTTCCGGGTCATGTGGCCAGCTTCTGCCGAAACCAGAGCAGCGCACGGAAACGCCGTTTACCTTCCCACTGGAGCGGTACCTATTTATCTGCTTGCACTTTGACGTGCTTTCGAACTGCTAGGTTGGCAGGAGCTGGGACCAAGCAACGGGAGCTCACCCTGTCACGGGGATTCGAACCGCCAACCTTCCAATCGGCAAGCCCTAGGCTCAGTGGTTTAGACCACAGCGCCACCCGCTGTGGAAGTAGGGGCGTGTAAATGAAGCTCTCCAGGAGCACATGGCCTCAGGCTATAATGGAGGCAGTAATGGAATCCTGGGTAAAGTTATTTTTAAGATACTGAGCCTGTGCTGGACAACACAAGATCTTATATAGAATTATTTGGATGTATCTTTGCTGTTTTTGTTCTGTTTTGGAAGAAGTTCTGCAGGTAAAGTTTTGAATAATATCTAATGGGTCTGGACAATGTTTCATTCCAAAAGGAGTCAGCTTTTATGCATCCAGTCGCTTCAAATTCTGCAGTATTAATAGCTGCAATAATATATTTATTTATGCCCCACCTTTTCCCCTGATAGCACATGAGGCAGCTTACCGATAAAAACAAGAACCACTAAAAACATCTGAAAAAATCAACACCACAAAGATGTTGGCAACCCAGCAGTGTCGTTGGCAGAGGCTGGAAGTCTTATTTTGGCATTAAGTGGTTTGTAAATTAATAAATAATAAGAGCAACAATTGTTGCTGCCATTTCTTCACTGTGGCTGCCAGCACTTGTTCATTTATTACATTGTCCTTCCAGACTCTCCCTCCCTCCATTTGTCATTTTGGCTAGCTGTGATTATTCCCTGGGGACCCCATTGTCTGATGTGGGGCTCCAGGCAAATACCTGACCTCTTGTGCCAGTTCTGTGGATGAGAGGAACTATTGTAATGCCCTTTGGTTCTTGACACTCAGTAGTAAATCACAGAGTTCATTTTATACTGAACCTTTACTATTTCCAATACGGGGAGGGAAGCGTTACCTTGCATGGCAATGAAGACCTGCCTTCTAATTCGCTGTCAGAGGATGAAGAGCAATAGTCAACGACTTGTTTTCTGGCAGGTAAATGTTCAGAACCTGAAAGAGGAAGAGAAAGCTCAGTGGTGCAAGCAGTATTCGCAACCTGGGCTTTAAGTGGATTTCCCCCATAGCTTCTGAGACTGCACCTGCCTGGAGCTTTGCAAGGCTATACCTAGCAGCAATTTGGAACACTGGCTAATTACATTAATTAAGCTTTTGGCAACTGTTCAAGGCCTTCACTGCTTGGCAAGTCCTTGGCCACAGCTACCCTTGCAAACATATCAAGTTTTATGTACGAATCAGTTAACTCCTACTTCCATTGTACGACGGCTCAGGCTTCCATTCAAAAAATCAGATCTGTTATTAAAATGCATATCTGAAGTTAGCCGTGTTATCTAACTGATTGTCTAAGGCTCACCATGCGGGCTAATTGAATGCACCAAGTCTGAGCCAGCTCTTAAACAAATTACCCTTATGTGGTTTGTAGCATCTGGCACCCATTTTTACTCTGTGACATCTGCTCAGTGTAAAAGAGCTGGCGTCAGAATGTCTGGTCATATAAAAAAAGTCACAAATATAATCAGAAGCAAATGGACTTCACGGAGGAGGTTTTATCACACGGCCTCATGCAACATAAATATTTCATTAATTAGGCCTAAACAAATGTCACATATATATTTTCTCTCCCTCGCTCAAGATTATCACACTGTGTGTGGAACAGTAAATGCTGTACATAATGAACACATACACCACAATGATGCATTCTTCCACAGATTTCACTCAAACCGAAAGTTCAGGCTGAGACCTGTGTTCAGAGATTCAAATTGCTTTCAATTTTGGGCCCCCAAATTATATTTTTTCTCTTTTCATCAGCATAGTGTTTTAATAGGCCTGTAAATTTCCACATGATTTTTTTTTAAATGGCTAATTCATTTCTTCCTCCTCTCTAAGAAAACAGAAAAGGCACAGGGAACATCTGGTGATACACTTAACTTGCTGCAGGATTAATGATTAACACCTGGATTAGACTCAGGTCAGACAGTGAGTGGCAAACATATACATCCTAAAATGACTGAAGGCTTCTTGGCACAGGCAGGATAACTGTAGGATGTAACTAAGGAAGTGGGAGGCTTAGTGGTAGAGCATCTGCATTGCATGGCAGAAGGTCTTGGGTTCGATTCCTGGCATCTCCAGGTAGGTCTGGGAGAGACTCCTGCCTGTAACCCTAGAAAGCCACTGTCAGTCAGTGTAGGGAATACTGAGTTACATGGAGAAGTGATCTGACCCAATTTTGAATAAACATTTACAAACTTTTTATTGACAATAATTAGTTAAACAATTTAAGGATTTATACATTTTTGTAACATGCAGAGAACAGTATTCATAAAGAAACCAAAGACTGGAACTGAGGGAAGTCGTGGGGGGAGGGAGGAAAATGGGGGGAAAATTAAGGATGATATGTTTCGTTTAACTCTTTAATAATAATATATATATATATATATAGTGAGAGAGAGAGTGATCTGACCCAATATGGCTATGTATGTTCCTATTTACTATAATCCATTGCATGAATGCAACATTTGTTAAGAAGGACAATGTGGTGGGTAGAGAAGGTTATAGATTTTGGGGATAACTAGAACTAAAATAAGAGTCTATCCCCTGCTGCCCCGAGGGCCGAAACATTTCTTTTCAAGTGTCCTTTGACACACACAGGTTACTTACTAGATGATTATTGCAAGGTTACTTGTGTTTTGCAAGAGTGGGCACACACCCATGGCTCACTGTGCCTTTTCACCTTCCTGGCTGCATTTTACACCAAAAGGAGTTTAAAAACTAAGTGCTGGAGTAGGCAAGGAGCTGCAGGAAGAAAACATTAACTGAGAAGCCATGTTGCTCATGGATCAGAAAAGATGTAAAGAGGGGGAAGGCTCTTTTGTTAAAGGACCTGGAACACTCCTATTTGGAAGGATGACACACTGCAACCCCCAGTCCATGATGGGCAAATTTAGGGCTGTGTGAGTGGTATGCCCACACCGGGCACTGAGCTGAGGGGGCCCTGTCTCAAAACCCAGTAAGCAAGGCGTTGGGCCTTGGGAAGGAGATGTGAGGGCTCTGGGATCCTGCCAGAGCCTTGTGCCTCCTTCCCAAAGCCAGATGCCTCCTTACCCACCTTTGGGAAGGCAGCATGGGGGGGGGGGCAAATTTTGACCTTTGTGCATCGTACCCAAGCCCATCATTGTCCATGAGCAGCCTCAGGCAAATGGTGGGCAGTTGGGCAAAAGGAGAATGGTACCAAGGGTCTTATTGTGTCTAAATAAAACCTGATGTAACCTTTAAGGTGTTGGAGCCCCTGCAGGACTCTTCATAACATGGGTCCATGATGTAGCCACAGCGCTGTTATGTGCTGAAGTGGTACCCACATCCTAAAAGTAACATTGGCAGGATCCCTTCAGTATTCCAACTATACCTTGAGGATCAGAGGAACCTCTTTCCGCCTCCCTCACAGATGTGGGCTCAAGCAACCCAGCACACTCCCAGCTTAGTGAGCCTTAGATTACATTGGCTAGGCATGTGAAGTTATGTGTGCCAAGACGCACTCATAGCGCTCGTGAATTTGAGTTATGGGCTGAATATCCAAGGATATTCCATTCCTTTGCCATCTTTGGAATCAAGGGAAAACAATGAACTGAAACAACCCCTTGAAGATGCTCTGTTGATCCAGGATGGCTAGAAATCCCACGTGTCCCCAGGGTGGTGGAGCTAGACCAGATGATGGAACGCCAAGTGTGCAGCTGAAGGCGGTGACTCAATTCCCATTGGGTGGCTTTGGAGGCCAGCTGGCTCTCTTAAGCCAGCATTGCACTACTGGAATTATGAGCAAGTGAACAATGAGGGCAAAGACATGTTGTTAACGGGAGCATCCCCTTGTTAACAACTGCAGCAAAATAGGCTTGACAAATGGAGTGTGTGTTATATAAAAAATGGTTGCATTCACGTATCATTACCCTGCTTAATTATCAGCTTCTTTTACTCTGAAAAGCACTGAATTTGATGGGCCTACATGGGCATTTCTCCAAAGACCCTTGTGCTCAAAGCTGCTGAAGCATATTTAAAGAAATAAGCTATAATCCTCAGGATACCTTGATATGCCTTTGGAACAGAACCAAGATCCCCTTTTCCCTCTCTAGAAGTGGAGACCTCCAGAACCTGCTCCCTCCCTCCCTTCCCTTTCATATATCCAATAATTAAAATGCTTTACAAGGATAGGAAGCATGGGCATAGCTGGGGAGGGGGCAGGGAGGGGCAGCTGCCCCCTAATCAAGAAAAATACATAGCTAACTGAGGTTCTGCACCCCCAACAAAAGACTTGCCCCCCCTAACAAAAATCCTTTCTACACCCATGAGAGGAAGTGTTTTGTAATACCATAGCACCTCCTGATGTACCAAGATTCATGTTCTAGAGACCACGCTTAAGCATGAAGAGTAAAACAGCCAACTGCAGCAGTATATTCCATTATACCTTGTGTATATTATACATATACACCGTTGGCACCGATCGGACTTGTGGAGGGCACCAGATTGGCAAAGACCAGTGCTATTTTTCTAGAAAAAGAGGTGCTGGAACTCACAATGAACACCTCTCTTGTTCTCTTAGAATAGCAATGGTGTCCACCTGAGAGGTGCTGGAACTTAGTTTTGACAAGTTCTGGCTGGGGGGGAAAGCCCTGGTAAAGACTGTACAATTGCCATGAGAGAAGAGACAAAGCAGTAGAGAGTAGCATGTTGAGGCCTACAACCAGATGCTCTGACATAGCATCCTAATATTCCTATCAATTATTATTTATATTATATATAGTGATCATCTGCTAGTTTTACTGTAGTTGTCTGCAAACTACAGATACACGAAGGACTGTAATTAGCAACTTTATTTGTTCATCTAGTGATTGTTTTGTACTGTTAGGTTGTTAAGAGTGTGTGTGTTTATTGATGGGATTTTATTTTATTTATTTCATTTTGAAATAAAACTCTATGATATAAAAAGGCCACCTGCTCCCTGCCTCTCCCCTCCCCTCCCCTCCTCGTCCTCCTCCTTTTAAAAAAGTGGCATTGAATGTATCTGGTAGAAGCACACATACTATAGCAGAAGACCAGATCACACTACAGTTGCCATGGGGATGTCATTGACTCTGAGCCGTAATATATATGAACTACTTAACTGCATGGGCCCCTGCCATGTGTCAAGAGTCTTCACCTTTCCACCAGCAACAAGGAGCGGGGCCATGGAGATAGCAGAAATGCATGCATTTGTTCTATATATCGCAAACAGCTGGAAAATCATTGTCAAAGGCATTGCCATGGCAACTGCGATTTGTTTTCTTCTGGACCATATTGCTCTTATAGGTTACATTTTAAAAACGAAACACTTCCCATCCTACAATGTGAAACATTTCCAGGATGGTATACAACAAGGTAGCAAGGGGAAAGCTAAACATAAGAAGGCTAAAACCCAGCAGCCTTGATCTGCCCTGCTGGGAGGGTTGCAGGGGGCAGAGGTTTCATTTCCCTAAGCCCAAAACCACTCAGCCAGGCTCTGCCTACAGAGCAATGCTGGTGTCACTTCTCTGCCACAAAATTCCACCTGCCAAAGGTCCTGGTGAGCAGGGGGACCTATTGGCATTAACCCACAGAAAATCCCAAGATGGGATTTTACACTATTTTATGCAAATTGTTTAAAGATTTAATCTTGCATTAAAGCACTATACATACTTTGTTTAAAACAACAACAACTGGAAATAAAAATCTTAAAGAAGGGAGTTTGCTTACCCAAGTATTCTCCTTTGGAAGAACTATTTAGTACTTCATCAACATCAAAGATGGTACAAGGTGACACAGGGCTTTTAACTTTGACATCTGCTTTATTCCTAAAGCTGCTGAATAGGTTCCACACATTGTTCCTCTGTTCAGGACCATCCAAAACGGCATCAGCGTTTTTGTTCCTGTGCCTTAGAGATGAAAAGCGGGTGTTCTTTTGATTGTGAGCACACCACTCATCCCTGGCAGACTTCCAGAGGTTCTCTTTAAGGGTAAACCTTTCTAGAAGTGTTGGCACATCGTCAGCATTGGTAGAAGAGGAATGTTCGGGTTTATGAAGACTCTGGGAAGGGCTGCTATGCGCACTGTAAACAGGAAAAGACGTGCCTTTGTCAACACATGAATATTCCTCTCTCGGACTGCTGGAAAAATGAGACCCATTTGAACTCCTCGTTCCAAGTCTTTTTTCTGCATCATCCAACACACTGAGCTCCTGTGTTTGTACGTTATAGTCTCCATGATTCTTGCTGCATCTGAGACTAGCGGAGCGAACCAGGGCCTGTGGGAAATTGAAAAATGTGCTTTCCAAAGGAAATTTGGCATGTGTGTCCTGGGCCTTTTTCAAACCTGCTGGAGGAGAAGTAAGAGGTTCTATGATGGATTTCTTTATAGCTTTGGCAATTAGCCTCAGTGGCGATTTCGGCTGGGTGGCAGTGTGTTCTTTGGGACAGTCACCAACATTCTTTGAAAGCGTCTGCCCAGGAGACAAAACTGGAGAATGGTTATCTGAGAACTTCTGAGATTGACCACAACTGGATTGTTTCGGTATGTTCTCATATCTGTTAAAATAAGCATTCTTCTGGTCTGGAATTCCTTGGCAGTCATGTTCCGTTCTTGTAATATCTAGCTCAGCATCATCCAGAGCAGGTCTTCTGGGCTTCTGTTCCATTGAAAGTGTCAACCTCCTCATTATCTTGTTTTTAGCTTTGTTCAAATGTTTGTCATGCTGTTCTTTGGCATTCTTATCTCCGTCATCAGGGTCTGCAGAGGACAACCCTGAATTCTTTATATACAGCTGAGAGATCAGTGGCTCACTATTCATCACCCAGTTTCCTAAATGTGCATCTTCAGTTCTGTAATCCTTGTCTTCAAGCTGAGGGTAACTGAGAGGTGAAGTCAGATCAACGTGACAAGTGGATTTGCTATGTGCCAATGGAAAGCTATCAGGGCAGTTGTGGAGTGAATAGTGAGGAACATAGGATGCAATTTCACTGGCTTTTCCTTTCCTTTGAAATGCTGGGCTGTGTAGCTTGAAATGTCCTCTTGTAATTTCTGGACTCTTGTCAGGAGATGTCAGCTGTATGGAATGCATAAAATGATT